TGGCCTTTCATAAGAAGAATGAATTACTTAAACATATCCGCCTAGTTACTTAATCAATTATTATCAATTAATTTTTTCCTACTTCAAGCTAATTTGAATTTAAAAAGAAGCAATAAAATATTTAAAACAAAGCGTCCAAATTTTATTTTATTGAGAATTTATAAAAAGCAAATTTGAATTTTGAATTATCGAAATTTTTAGCATCTGTTTGTATTTTTTATACGTTACCAGATAATGAAATAAACTTAACAAACACAATGATGCAGGTCAGTGATCGTCGTGAGTTTCAATCTTCTTGTACTCTTGGGTGTCCCGTTGGTATAGAGGGACCTCACATTTTTTTTTTTCCTACCTAAGCTGATAGCCTTGAGAGGCTATATCAGCGTCGCCTTAACTAGTAGGTGAGCTCACGGGGCTCAAGTCTGATGACGTTGCTAACACGAACCCTAGCAAGAGCCATGCTTCGCAGAATCTACCACCGGATCGGAAACGCGACCCACTGAGAAGATCCGGCTAGAAACTCAGTGGGCTGTGTCTGAGGGTTAGTTTACTCGTCGAGCCCTTCGTCGTAAGCGACGGGTTCGACGAGAACGATGATCGGGGACCTCACAAATTGTCTCCTTTAATGTCTATTACTAAATCAAAATTAATTCAGAATACGATTACAATTTCATTATCATACTATCATACGATCGCTATATACTGTACAGGAGAGATCGAGAAAGTCGGGGGTTCCACAGCACCAAGGAGGGAGGGGGCACGTTAATTGCAGTGTCTACGCGTTTCAGATCGTTTCGCTTGTTCGATCGCGAATCGGATTGTGAGGATCTCTGGGTCAAGCTTGAGTTGCGTGATACTAAGAACAGATTGAAATACTTATACATCTGCGCTGTTTACCTACCTCCACCTGNCCACTCCAGTAAAGATCGGAGGCTCTACGCTCGAAGTTGTTGACGAGTATATTTACCTGGGACACACTGTCCAGCTAGGTAAGTCCAACTTCGAAAAAGAGGTCAACCGTCGAATCCAGCTCGGATGGGCAGCGTTCGGAAAGCTACGTAAAATCTTCTCATCACAAATACCACAGTGTCTCAAGACGAAAGTCTTTGATCAGTGTGTGTTGCCAGTGATGACATATGGCACTGAGACGTGGTCGCTCACAATGGGCCTTATGAGAAGGCTCAAGGTCACCCAAAGAGCAATGGAGAGGGCTATGCTCGGAGTTTCCCTGCGAGACTAAATCAGAAATGAGGAGATTCGCAGGAAAACCATGGTAACCGACATAGCCCAAAGGATTGCGACACTGAAGTTGCAGTGGTCAGGACACATTGCTCGCGGAACAGATGGCCGTTGGGGCCAGAAGGTTCTTGAGTGGCGACCGCGTACTGGGAGACGTAGCGTGGGTAGGCCTCCCACAAGGTGGGCCGACGACTTATTGAGGTTCGCGGGGATCCGCTGGATGCAGGCAGCGCAGGACCGGTCTTTGTGGCGAGGCTTGGGGGAGGCCTATGTCCAGCAGTGGACGTCCATGGGCTGATAGAATAGAATAGAAATAGAATAATATTTCCAATATAATTTAGTAGGCATAAATACATGTTGTTTAAGAGAACCGCGTCAACGTACTAATAAGGTAGAATCTACTTTATAAATTGTGATTTTGTTTGTTTTATCTTAGTATTATTAGTTAAGTAGACTGTAATTCTTAGACTACAGTTTTATTTATCTTTAATACAATGGAGCTAGTAATTATAGTCGAAATTTAGATACAGCATTAAATAATAATAGTCCAGTTTTTTAGTTTAGAAATCGATAAAACGTTGTAAATTTCAAATTTCATATATAAATACATTTCACATCATATTCAAAATTTGCATTGACTATAAATTATTTTATTACGTTACATTATATTACAAAATGTTACAGTTAAATCTGTGACGCTTGTGGCAACACGGACATAATGCAGATTGAAAACTAGTTTATGTTTTTTTGCCATCAGCGCAATTTACAGGCAAGATCTAAAAGAACAATCTATATAAAATGCATGTGCATATTTAATTAGCATTTCGTTTATTCTTCTAATATGTACGGAATAATCATAATCTATTTTCATTTGATTAATTGTTCGTTCAAACACGTGTAATATCGTAAAATATCGTAAAATAATCACAAAATTTGATTGTTACAGTCGAAGGATATTTTTTTAATTGAAGATTTTTAAAAAACTATAGCATAAAGTCATAGTTATAGTTCTGCCAGGCGTTTTCTTGAATGAACTCTCTTCATAGGCATTCTAGAAATTTCATGTCATTCCTCTTCAAATAAGTTTTGAATGTGCCGCTAGCATTACTAATGTCCATACCTCGATAGCCTTCCTTGACAGTAAAAAAGTTTCTATTTCATCTGGACCATTATTAAAATAAGAGATGCTTATTTTAAAGAACTTTAACTTTGTTGCTGTACCTAGAGTGTATTATCTCAATCCTGCTCATTTCTGCCGCGAGCCAATCATGTCTTCTAGCTTGGAGGTTGTTAAATCTTTTGTACAATTTTGAGTTCCGATAAACATTTCAAAAAAGACGGACCATATCCTCATCTTCCTGTCTAGAGCCACAAAGAAAACAATTATTTTCGATTATATTATTTAATGGCGTTTTAAGAATGTGAATATTTTAAGATCACAGTGGTGTTCTGCAGTAAAATATTTTTTGGATTTTTCGTTTTATTTTTGTAAAAAATTTATAAACAGGTTATTTTTAACGATTCTTCGTGATCTTTGCGACATTTTGAAACCAAAAACCTAATTTGAGATGTCATGAGTGGTATCGCTTGATCTTGGTGACATTTGCGTTAGAAACACAGATTTACACATTTAAGATAACATCAGTTGCGATATGTTTATTATTGTGCTTTTAACAACGAAATTCATTTACGTAAATATTTTGATTTAAAATAGTGTGTTTATTTCTTTACTCAGCAAAATATGCAGAAGGTCAAAACTCTTATGGCTACAGAATTACCTTTTTAATAATCAATCATTTATCAAGATTTATTTGCTGGTTGCTTACGATAATTCACTTCCGTTCATTTTTAAGTCAGAACAAAACAGATCTTGGCCTTTCATAAGAAGAACGAATTACTTAAACATTTCCGCCTAGTTACTTAATCAATTATTATCAATTTATTTTTTTCTACTTCAAGCTAATTTGAATTTAAAAAGAAGCAATAAAATATTTGAAACAAAGCGTCCAAATTTTATTTTATTGAAAATTTATAAAAAGCAAATTTGAATTTTGAATTATCGAAATATTTAGCATCTGTTTGTATTTTTTATACGTTACCAGATAATGAAATAAACTTAACAAACACAATGCTGCAGGTCTGTGATCGTGACTTTCAATCTTCTTGTACTCTTGGATGTCCTGTTGGTACAGAGGGGCCTCACAAATTGTCTCCTTTAATGTCAATTACTAAATCAAAATTCAGAATACGATTACAATTTCATTCTCATACTAAAAATATTGAAACCAGAAATAATTAATGAAAATAGCAGCGTAGACATTGAAATAGTTTAACGACCCCTATAATAGTAGTTTATCGTGAGTGTCTAGTCTAGTTTATCAAGATTCACGACACATCACTTAAATTATTATAATAAAATGTTACAGCATAAAGAGTCACATAACGTACTTATCGTGATTTTGATGTATACAATCTTGTATGTGTATCTCTTGGGGCAAAGGATCATAATAATTTAGTCCCGATAAGGATTAGAGGAAAAATATATGTAATCCCAACCTTTGAGGCTTACTGTAACTGCGCTAACATCAGTAAATACTAGTAGGGTTCTCGTCTCATTTTCAATCACCATTATTCTGGCTATTTCTACAGTTGAACAACCACACATTCCGTTTGAAGGATGAGACAGCATGTATGCCGCCATTGAGTATTCAATACGATATTTTAAGTTCGAATCCATTGGTCTTGTGGAGCTCCGGTACTGAAGTCGTCGTGGCCTAAAGGATAAAACGTCCGGTGCATTATTCGTGTTGAGCGATGCACCGGTGTTCGAATCTCAGGCGGTTACCAATTTTTCTAATGAAATACGTACGTACTCAACAAATGTTCACGATTGACTTCCACGGTGAAGGAATAACATCGTGTAATAAAAGTGAAACCCGGAAAATTATAATTTGCGTAATTACTGGTGGTAGTAACTCTTGTGAGTCCGCGCGGGTAGGTACCACCGTCCTGCCTATTTCTGCCGTGAAGCAGTAATGCGTTTAGGTTTGAAGGGTGAGGCAGTCGTTGTAACTATACTGAGATTTTAGAACTTATATCTCAAGGTGGGTGGCGCATTTACATTGTAGATGTCCATAGGCTCCAGTAACCACTTAACACCAGGTGGGCTGTGAGCTCGTCCACCCATCTAAGCAATAAAAAAAAACCTCGCTTATCATTAGGAAGACTCTACCTCTGTTAGTTGTATAAAAAAATAAAATCTAATTTGGCAATGATAAAATTATTTCGTTTATATAGGCCTATTAACGTATGGTTTTGTTTTAATCGATCAACGAATTGGCTTCGTACCACAAAGTGAATTTTATGCTTTGTAACATGAGTTTAAAGCCGCAATTGCATATCGGGAATTGTTTGTGTTGTGAAAATATACATATTTTTTTTATTGCTTAAATGGGTGGATGAGTGACAGCCCACGCGGTGTTAAGTGGTTAGTGGAACCCATAGACATCTACAACGTAAATGCGCCACCCATCTTGTGATATAAGTTCGAAGGTCTCAAGTATAGTTACAACGGCTGCCCTACCCTTCAAACCAAAACGCATCAATGCTTCACGGCAGAAATAGGCAGGGTGGTGGTACCTACCCGCGCGGACTCACAAGAGGTCCTACCACTAGTAAATTATCTAACTCTTTAGTACCTAAATATTGTCTATTCTTATATTGTCAATTAAATATTTTTATTTTTGTTTCTTTTAATATAGGGGAGCAGAGAATACTTCAAAGCGTCTCCGGAGAGTTTCGTTCAGGAGAGCTGACATGTATACTAGGACCTTCGGGGGCTGGAAAGTCTACTTTACTCAACATCTTAGCAGGATACACGTAAGCTAATATTATATTGTTGTAATTAGGAATTTGCACGGAAATTATGTATAATGAATGTAATATAAGAATTTTATAAAAAGATGAGATGAGATCGGCTCAAGATGGGTAGCTGCATTTACGTTGTGATAGATACGTCTTCCGGAAAGCCATTTGGCAAGAATGAATTCACTGTTATTGTCTATACTTCTATACTAATATTATAAAGAGGAAAGATTTGTTTGTTTGTTTGTTTCGAATAGGCTCCGAAACTACTGGACCGATTTGAAAAATTATTTTTCCATTAGAAGCCGACATTGTCCCTGATGAACATAGGCTACTTTTTTTTATTTATTTTTTTATTTTTTATTTTTTGGTTTCATGTGTGTTTTAATGTTTCCGAAGCGAAGCGAGGGCGGGTCGCTAGTGTAGTAATAAAATAACACTATTAATAGGTTGACTGCTATGCAGGTCACTGGTAGCCTACATGGCGCACTGAAATAATTATGTCGATTTCACTCTTCGATCTTCTTACGAAGGCGCCGGAATACCTACTAGACTCTAGGAAAGACGAATCCGATGATACTGAGAATTAATCTGTTTCTAATAGATCTAAAAGACTAAATGTATGTTATTGTTACGCTGGTAAGAGTAGCGCCATCTATCGCCGAATAGTCGAACGAATATCAAATTATCTAGTAGCATCTAGAACGCTCGAGAAGTCAAACGCCATCTATTGTCAGATAGCGGAAACACAATACTCGACTTTTGTGGAATATTCTCGACGATTCTAGGGATTTCATCTTCGCTATAAAAGCATTGCAGAGATGGCACGCAGTCAGCTAGTAATCGGAACTACTCGAAGCGAAACAGCAAACGGATCACCTGAAGCGAAGCGGAAGACGCGAATTGAGAATTTTAAAGTGTTTGTGAAGTGTTTTAATAATTGTTCTAAGTGCTAATACAGTGTTAACTTGTAATTTTTATTTATGCCGAACCCCGGCGCGTAGCATTATTAACAAACAAAATAAGGCAAAGTTAGGCAATTCAAGCGTTTAGTAACAGAAATCGACATAATTACTTCAGTGTACCAGGTAGGGCGAAGTATAAAGTATTCATGGGAAAAACTCTTGCAAACCGTTCCAATTGTCAACGTTCAAGTCATCGTGGGCTAGCCTGTGCCGATGATAATGTTCGAATCTCGCAGCAAAGTACCAATTTTTCTAAATAAATACGTACTTAGCGAATCTGTTTCATGATGAAGTAATAACATCGTGTAATAAAGTTTGAGGCTTAGACCACACGTCTTAAATTGGATGGTAATATTTACGCAGTGAATTCTATGGCCTCCGATAACCCCATAACCTCAGGTTCTCTCAGAACTCGTTTCACGGCGTAGCCGAGAAAAAATGATAAATAAAAAACCTAGATAACTGCCAAGTAACATTTTAATGCGCTTAAATCTAATTGAAGTTAACATATTCGCGACGCATTAATTTTTTGTTTGGGTTGTACAGTCACGGCTTCTCAACCGTGCCGAGGTCAGGTAGAATGCACATCGGTCCTATTAGTTGAAATAATTTGAATCGTCTTTTGTACTATTATTGTGTTATATAAATCGCTTGATGACACTTTGCTTTTGTTACCGATGCGATGATTGTTCATTACATTTAAAATGAACATAATGATAATTGTTCAGTAAAGTTAACGATGAAGGCAATGCGGAACTGGTTGTTATGGGGAAGCTTGAGGGAGGGCTATGTCTAGCAGTGGATATCTGAGGGCTGAAAGAAGAAGAAGAAGAAACTAAAAAGAAGAATAAAAAAACTAAAAGAACATGCCCAAAGTACCACCCAAACAAAAAAATTTAGTAGGTATCATTTTTAAAGATGGACATTATTGTCTATGCCAATGGGGCGAGGTGCTTTGGATCAAATGCTGCCAATAATATTTTAGTAGTTATTTGTAAAGGCAAACCTGTTACAAAAACGCTGTAAAAAGCACAAGAAACGAATAGATTCAAATGTGTAAATTTATGATTCAATTTTATAAGGTTAGCAAACTATGATGTACATAGGATATTATGTCAATCTTCTACACAAACACAATTATTACTAATGTTAAATAAAAACTAATTATACTGAAACATATCAAATATATTATATAATCCCTACATTCAAATAGTTTTGTTTAAGATACCTTTTCCCTTCAATGCACTAGGCGATTTAAACACGTTCACAACAGAAGCTTTAAGTGCCTACTGGAAGCCCATGGACATTAAAACGTGAATGATGTGGAAATATAAAGTATAATTGTATATTTATTAGTAATGAAAACACGTCATTGCGGATCCTCCCGATCCATTAACGGTGCTTTTAGGTACCACAAGCACCAGTCACCGTCCTCGTCGAACCCGTCGTTTGCGACGAAGGGCTCGATGAGCGAATTAACCCATAGACAACACAGCCCACTGAGTTTCTCGCCAGATCTTCTCAGCGGGTCGCGTTTCCGATCCGGTGGTAGATTCTGCTAAGCACTGCTCTTGCTAGGATCAGTGTGTCATCACTCCGGTTTGAGCCCCGTGAGCTCACCTACTAGTTAAGGTTACTTTGAAATAGCCTCTCAAGGCTATCAGTTTAGGTAGCACATTTAAAAAAGTATTGAAATGATAGTAAGAATTCGTTAAATAACAGTATCTAAAGCTATTTAATGATCTAGAGAACTGAAAACTTTAAAATCGCTTTGAACTTGTTATAGATTCTGTGATTCTACTATATACAAGACATTTTGATAAAGGTGTTATAATGTCGTTTTCTTTTTTATTCATCTAATTAATAATTATAAAAAATGTATATAAATCTATTATCAAGCTTCGACGTGACATTTCCATAAGTTTCTGTGTGCTTAGTGCAAGTATTTTAACATTCTCGATAGCGTAATGCTACGTTTGCCGCTACGAGCGCTGAGTTAACTTTTACGGTATCGTGAACGTTAAATAAAACTCACACTAAACACACTTTANTTCTTTTTTATTCATCTAATTAATAATTATAAAAAATGTATATAAATCTATTATCAAGCTTCGACGTGACATTTCCATAAGTTTCTGTGTGCTTAGTGCAAGTATTTTAACATTCTCGATAGCGTAATGCTACGTTTGCCGCTACGAGCGCTGAGTTAACTTTTACGGTATCGTGAACGTTAAATAAAACTCACACTAAGCACACTTTACGTTTACTTTAAAAGTCGTCGTGGCCTAAAGGATAAGACGTCCGGTGCATTCGTGTTGAGCGATGCACCGGTGTTCGAATCTCAGGCGGGTACCAATTTTTAGGTAGGTACCACCACTCTGCCTATTTCTGCCGTGAAGCTGTAATGCGTTCTGGCTTGAAGGGTGGGGCAATCGGCAACTATACTTGAGATCTTAGAACTTATATCTCAAGGTGGGTGGCGCATTTACGTCGTAGACGCCTATGGGCTCCAGTACCCATCTAAGCTATGTAAAAAAACGTGCACAGGTTAAACGGCGTCACCGGACGTGTATCAGTCAACGGACACGTGCGAGACATGAGGGTGTTCAAGAAACTGAGCTCGTACATCATGCAGGATGATCTGCTGCAGCCAAGACTGACCGTACAAGAGTCCATGTGGATCGCTGCTGATCTGAAACTCGGCAAGGAACTGGGAAAGCCGGAGAAGGAACTCATTGTAAGTTTTTATTAACGTATTATTTTAAGTATCTCATAAGTATATCTTAGCGGTAGGCAGCGGCTTGGCTCTGCCTCTGGCATTCCTGAAGTCCAAAGGCAATGGTAACCACTCACCATCAGGATGGTCGTATGCTCGTCTGTCTACAAGGGTAATAAAAAAAAGTTATTTTTCTTATATATACCCGAATCTATCCGCCAACCGTTGTCAACGTGGCCACCATCCGCTCAGAGCGTTTCAATCACGGAATAGATTTTATTCCGTGGTTTCAATACATCTTATATACTTGCAATTTAAACTAGAGTACAAAATCGTTTTACAGCGGAAATGGTATAGTTTTTTCTTTTTTTTTTTTAATCTACCTATTCGCTGGTAGCATAAGGGACATTTTTGGTGCTTTGAGATTAATTATGTCATCGAAGCTAAGGTAATATCCTTTTTTTTATTTTTGTCGAAGTACACGTTCAGGTCCTGTACTAATATTTACTATTTTTCCGCTTACAATTTTATTAGGTTCGAACAATTCTTAAAGATTCATTAAAACTACTTTTACGGACTAATCTCTCATATTTTACTGTTAATTTTTTTCGACGCTACGGATGCTTTACAGTTTTCGTGGTCACGGACGACACAGACGAAATATGTATGTTGATAGCAAAGAATTGGGCTCACAGAAAGCCAAAGACCAGTAGCACACTTAAGCTGAAGGACGAGTAAGCAGTTTAAGTATTTGCGGTCGTATGTCTACTATCAGCCATCAAACGGACCGCAAAGATCGATTAATATGACCGCAAAGGCTTAAAGTAGCAGGTCGATCACATTTCTAGGATACTAGGATCGCGCAAATTGCAGTTTTATTTTATTTATATATATTGGTACCAACATGTTATACACCAGCACAATAAATTACAAGTAACGCAAACATTAATCTCACACTAAATGCCAACACAATTACAGGACCAACAGCGCGCACTGGTGAAATAAAAATACATACATTTAAAAATAAAACATAATTGCGAATAAGTTTGTCAAATAAGATTAATGTTGTGGAAGAAGGTTGCGTTGCGTTTATAACCACAGACAATCTTAAATATCCAAAAAATACTTGCTATTAAATTATGCTCTTTGGGAATGGTAAAAAAAGCTCAAGTATACAAAACTTTTTAGACGAAAGATGACTACTTTGATAAGGCTATGCGCCATGATTAGACAAGTTCTTATGAATTCACCAGATTCAAAAACTCTTGCATTAGACACCTTTAGCTCTAACAGTAGGAGCAGGTTTAGGGGCTCTGGTAACAGTACCTACTCGTCGAGTTGGCAAAGAATTCGACGTGCAAGCCAACTCATACGTCAGCTTGAATTTCGCGCCAGAACTTCTTAGCGGGTCGCGATTCCGATTTTATAGTAGATTTACTCGCGAAGCAGATGCCCTTGAGTTGTTAGGTCTCCTCCTGAGGCACTCGGGCAGCTGTCAGTAAATCCCGTCTCTGTTTGCCGAGCCCATGTTCGCCTATCTGTACTGGTGAAACTGGAAAGGCCTCATAGCCACCAGTAATTGGTGAAACAGAAAAGGCCTCCGAGCCATGAGTAATCCTTCTTTCACAAAAAAAAAAAGAATCGGTATTTCTGTACTCGATCTGTTCCAATAATGTGAGTTGTTATAGTTTCATTTATAAATAAAGGGATGTTTTGTACTGACATAAAGGAAATATATTATGGATGCGACCTTCGACCGGGCCATCTCTATCCGTCTGTGTGTCACAGCTATTTTAGTCACGGGATATTTTCTGTAGATCTCGATATCATTGATTACACAAATTCGTATATTATGTGAATTATTTTAAATATTTTCCGGTAATGAAATATGACAAAAGGATGAAAAAATTGAAAACTAAACAGAAAAAAGTTGTGTGTAACTTTAAGTTTTCATGAAAAATTATATACATATTTCCGTAATCTATGCAAAATCTGTTATCTTCTCCCACGATGTTACTAATGAAATATTATTCTTACAAAATAATATTGTCCTACCAGCTGCAGTGAATGAATTTTGGGTGGTAAACGACAAAGGGAAGATCTTCCAACGAGCGGGTAATATTGCTCGGTAGACTAACGGTGCGAATGTTGTTGTTCGGAACTTGTACATACATATACGCAAATCTATTCAGGCATCTTTTTTTTATTGCTTATATGGGTGGACGTGCTCACAGCCCACCTGGTGTTAAGTGGTTACTGGAGCCCATAGACATCTACAACGTAAATACGCCACCCATCTTGAGATATAAGTTCTAAGGTCTCAGTATAGTTACAACGGCTGCACCACCCTACAAACTGAAAATTACTGCTTCACGGCAAAAATACTTACCCGTGGTACTTACCCGTGCGGACTCACAAGAGGTCCTACCACCAGTAAGAAATATCTTGTGTTATATGATAGCTACCAACTAAAACAATTTTATTTAATTCATCAATGAATAAAATCAAAATGTTTGTGTAAAATCAAATTGGTGAACCAACTCAAGGCCAATTTTGTTTTAAATATTATTATAATAATATGTAGAAGTTCGATTCTCTATTTTAATCGTGTCCAGTGAAAATAATTTTAAGCAAATAGTTATCTGAAATTCTAATACAGAAACCATACCAAAAAAAATACAATTTATTTTCATTGAGAGCACCGCCCATCTCTAATACAATATTCCATGTAATCGTCCATACATATTTAAGAAGTAAGCAACGTATAGTTATTGGCATGACCTCCGAAACGTTTTTACGAGATACGATGTCCCTTTTAAATCTGATTAGATCACGTTTACTTATATTGAAAAGCTGGATTCGAACCCACGTAAAAGGGATTTGAATAATAAACATGATTCGTACAAAAACTGACATATCATGCTTAATGTGAGAAAATTTCAATTTTTAGATTTGGTCGAGGAGTTTCTCTTTTATTCAATAGAGGTCTATATTGGCTGTGTTACTAGATCTGCTGATGGTAGGGTATCTGGTGATTTCACCACCTTGCCTATTTCTGCTGTGTTACTAGATCTACTGATTGATGGTAGGGTATTTGGTGAACCCACATGAGTGGGAGGTACCACTACTTTTCCTATTTCTGCTGCGAAGCAGTGATGCGTTCCGATTTAAAAGGCAGAACAGCCGATACATTACAGAACTGAGACTTAGAATTGCTTAGACGTTCATATTAAATACCCAATAAAATGTTAATCACTTTCACAGATTGAAGAAATTCTACAAACACTAGGTCTGTGGGATCACAGAGACACAAGGTCTGAAAAACTGTCTGGAGGACAATCGAAACGTCTCACTGTCGCCCTGGAGCTGGTCAACAATCCGCCCATCATATTTCTGGATGAGCCTACCACGTGCGTATACTCTTCCGCAATTACTGTATAGCTTAATTTCTTGTCCTTATCCCATTTTTTTTAAGCTATTGCATAGATTTTATCGCGGGCTTTGAGCGCGGCGACCGAATCAAGAAATCCCGTAACAAAAACAACCTAACACCTCTCCGCCTACCATGTAGTTCGCGTTCAACACATTCACACGTTGCGCTTGTGTAGTGTTTGTGAATAAGTGCGCGGCGTGACGTCGCACTGCATGCGCATCATGAAAAGTCTGCCCATCTCTCTCTCGCGCAGTCTAGCCTATGAGTGTAAAGGGGAGAGTTAATGTTTTTCTTTAGTTAATGTTTATAAATATAGCGTGGTATTATTTTATTATTGTTTTAATATTAAAATATTATTGTCTAATTATAATTGCATAAGTTGATAAAAAATACTATGCAATAGCTTTACCGTGACAGTCTCCAAGTGCCACACGTGTTTTTTTTTTATTGCTTAGATGGGTGGACGAGCGCACAGCCCACCTGGTGTTAAGGGGTTACTGGAGCCCATAGACATCTACAACATAAATGCGCCACCCACATTGAGATATAAGTTCTAAGGTCTCAAGTATAGTTACAACGTCTGCCCCACCCTTCAGACCGAAACGTATTACTGCTTCACGGCAGAAATAGGCAGAGTGGCGGTACCCACCCGCGCGGACTCACAAGAGGTCCTACCACCAGTAATTACGCAAATAAATTGCAAAATACGCCATATTATGTGAGGTCAGTCCAGCATGTCCTCTTATCATGCTGCATAGGGATTTAGCATGAGTTTTACGACCGGCCTCCTATCTGACGCCAACCTTTCTATAGTTATATCTTTATATTCATTTTAATGTGTTATAGGAAGGGACCTTTAATGTTTCTTCTTTTGATGTTTTTGTTAATTCGTCCGTTTTTTGTTCTATGATTTGTACATAATCACTACACAATATTTTAATTTATTTATTAGTTGATACGGGTTGAAAGGCTAAGGCATGTAGAAAAATATAAAAGTGCCGGAAAATAGAAAAGTTTTTGGCGTACCGAATTAATAATATTTGATCGCTCTATTTTAATTTGATATAAGCACTGTACGACAGTTCTTTTTTATTTTATTTTTTTATTGCCCTTGTATGCAGACGTGCATACGGCCCACCTGATGATGAGTGGTTACCGTCGCCCATGGACTTCACCAATGCCAGGAGCAGAGCCAAGCCGCTGCCTACCGCTCAGTTACATTTCAATTTACGCGGAGTCCTGGAACCTTTTTAGATTATTTATATTTATTTATATCAAGTAGCACATGTGTTGCTCTCCATAAGTCTGTGACTGAAAAAATTAAAAGAATAAAACAGAAATAATTTCTCACGATTTTGGCGAGTGCTGGCATTTATGTTAACTAGCAGGCGTAATTCGAAAGTGATCTGTTAATCTATTCTTTAATCTTATTTTTATGCGTTTCGAGGTTTTATGGCTGAAGTAAGATTACGCACTACGAAACTTAAAAGAAACATAAGAATAATGACATACGCACGTTTTTAAATCTACATTCTTTCATTTCAATCTTTAAAGAAGTCATTTAACTGAATTGCAGCACCACCCTGCCTATTTCTACCGTGAAGCAGTAATGCGTTTCGGTTTGAAGGGTAGGGCAGCCGTTGTAACTATACTTGAGACCTTAGAACTTATATCTCAAGGTGGATGGCGCATTCACCTTGTGGATGTCTATGCGCTCCAGTAACAACTTAGCACCAGGTGGGCTGTGAGTTCGTCCACTCATGTAGGCCATAAAAAAAAGTAACTACAATTAAAACTATTATACTTCTACAGCTTAATTTCGCGTTAGCCTATTGTCATCATATTATTTCAGACATTTGAAAACATTACAATTTTCATAGTTACGGATAATTGGTTATGGTTATACATAAGATTAAAACCGTTAAAGTGATTTAATTAATTAAATAAATGAATATAATTAGCCTGAGAATCGAATCTAAAAGATAGACGAACGCACGCGAACATCAACGCTAATTACTCCCAAAAAATATAATAACATTTAAACAAAAAAAAACACTGATACAATTAGTGAATCGCAATATAGTAATACCCTAATAGCCCAAAGAAAAGTATTATGGTAGAATCGGGCATGAGTAATTGCTGTAATTACTATACCCATCTGTGTCCGGGAAAATGTTATTTTTCCGATACTTCCGACAAACTACGTTAAGCGAAGTATATTGTTTTATGATTGCAACTTTACTGGTGGTAGGACCACTTGTGAGTCCGCGCGGGTAGGTACCGCCGCCCTGCCTATTTCTGCCGTGAAGCAGTAATGCGTTTCGGTTTGAAGGGTGGGGCAGCCGTTGTAACTATACTGAGACTTTAGAGCTTGTATCTCAAGGTGGGTGGCGCGTCTACGTTGTAGATGTCTATGGGCTCCAGTAACCACTTAACACCAGGTGGGCTGTGAGCTCGTCCACCCATCCAAGCAATAAAAAAAAAACATAAATTTCATTCGGTAACGAAAAAATTATGTTTTGTACTGGAATGCTGTGATTCACATTTAACTGACTTTTTTTTTGTAACACAGAAGTAGAAACACAATCATTATTTGCATCTGCGCTTGAACTAGGTGATAAAACCTGTATCGCAAGCAGTGCAGTGCAAGCAGTGTTCCTCATACAAAGAGCACAACAGTTTTACTACAGATACACGAATTACGAAATCACTAGACAAAAATTAAAGCCTTTTTAAGGAATTTAAAAGTACGTTTATAACATTCTTGCTTAGTTCACGCGGACACTTCCGGTCACCGTCCTCGTCGAACCCGTCGCTTGCGACGAAGGGCTCGACGAGCGAACTAACCCATAGACACAGCCCACTGAGTTTCTCGCCGGATTTTCTGAGTGGGGCGCGTTTCCGATCCGGTGGTAGATTCTGCGAAGCACTGCTCTTGCTAGGGTCAGTGTTAGCAGCTCTCCGGTAGAGCCCCGCGAGCTCACCTACAAACGTTAGGGTGAAGTTGAAATAGCCTCCCAAGGCTATCAGCATAGGTAGGGGAAAAAAAATAAAAAAAAAACCGGACATATTTTTACGCATTCGCCAGTGTCCTAAGAGGCTATTTCAGCTACGCCCGGACGGCTAGGTGAGCTCACGGGCTCAACCTGAAAGAATTGGCTAACACTATCCCTAGCAAGAGTAATGCTTCGCAGAATCTACCACCGGATCGGAATCGCGACCCACTGAGAAGATCCGGCGAGAAACTCAGTGGGCTAACCCGAACACAAAATGACCAATTTCAATGATCAATAACAAGCAAGGGACTTATTTCTATTTCGATTAAAATTAATTGATATAAATTAATTGGTGATTAAATGATTTGATGCGTAGATGACTGAACGAGCAAACGTCACAGCTGATGTAAAGTGATTACCGGAGTCCATGGACATCACGGCGTGAATGTTTGAGACATGAGGTCGAAATTTCAATTGAATTGTATGACTGCTATTTCGCCTTGCAAGCCGGAGCGCATGTTTGTTCCGCGGAAAAAAAAGCCAGTTGGCAATCGCAGTATGCTATATGCACTGTTTTAAAATTGAGTTGTTTACAAGCTTTGATAACAATGGTCCGCAAGCACGCATACCCATCTCAGGACCATAAACGGTCGACCTCAGAGGATTTTGAAGTTTTACATTGCTTGCAGCGTTAACTAAGTAAAAAGACATTATTTTTCGGAGTTACCGTGTAAATAGCTAAGTGTATATCGGCGCCCACCTGACGATATGAACTCAAAGTCACAATTACATCACAATTATGCATATACTTCTCATTAAACCAGAACTGAGATTAGATACCGTACTAAATACTAGTAAAATGCGATAATTAAACTCACACAGTGAAATCACTAGCGCCATCTATCGTAATTTGCTAGTATTATGAAAAATATTTTCACCGAACTGCCAAAGCTATAGGTCAAGCCAACGAACGATAGAAATAGGCAAGATTGCGGCGAATCCACAAGGTATCACCACCAATAATTACGCAAATTATAATTTTTGCGGGTTTGTTTTTTTATTACACGATGTTATTCCTTCACCGTGGAAGTCAATCCTGAACGTTTGTCAAGTATAATTTGTTAGAAAAGGATTAGGATTAACTCTCGGTGCTTTTAAGCCTCTCCTCACCAATCACTGGTGACCGTCCTCGTCGAACTCGTCGATTACGACGAAGAGTTAGACGAGCGAACTAACCCATAGACACAGCCCACTGAGTTTCTCGCCGGATCTTCTCGGTGGGTCGCGATTCCGATCCGGTGGTAGATTCTGCGAAGCATTATTTTAACGTCCGTCTGGTGTAGTGGTAAGTGACATGGTCGCGGGTTCGAATCCCGCCAAGGGAAGATATTTGTATGATAAATATAAGTGTCTTTTCCAGGGTTATGGATGTATATTAAATATAGTTATATGTATGTGTATAATAAAAATCTTACATTTATTTCCGTTATCTGGTAAAAAAAAAAAAAAATCTTGCTAGGGCTAGTGTTAGCAAATTCTCTCAGGTTGAGTCCGTGACCTCACCTACCTGTCCTGGTGTAGCTGGAATAGCCTCTTAGGCTACAAACGAATAGGTAGAATAAAAAAGGCATATAAAAAAATGTCACTAATGTATCTTCGTATTGTGATAAAAAAGTATAGTTTTAAAAAATAAGAAAATAATAAATTTATTAAAAAAAATATTCTATTTTTAGTTCATTTTTCTATAAAAGCGTATTTTGTTAGTTTTTTTTTAAACTATTATTTCTTTTCATTTGTTAGTTGAATTTTAATTTTTTAAATATTTTTTTTAAATGTTGAATAGTCATCGGTCCTTCATAAGTATACCAAATATCGAGTTAATCCGTCGTTTTGAAGGGGATCAAAACCGTGTTCAAAGATTCCGTTACATACGAACATACTACGTCTGAAGCTAATAATAGCGTATTAAAATAGTTTTGTT